TCAACCCTCTTACTGGCAAAACCCCTGACGATGGATAAGTTAATTTAAGCTCTTTATTACATGAACTTATAAACAAATTACACATATGAAGTTAATATCAATAAAACAAGATAAAATAAGTATATACATCAAAGGATGACAATAAGCCATTGACAGTATATAATTATAACACATATTATATGATAAGATAAATAATACACACCACACCACACACACAACATTAGTGTATAGACTATATATTTATATATTGATAATATATATAATTTATGAGTTACTATTAATATAGAGAGAACGAAGATGGAGGAGAGAGGAGAGGTAGAGGAGAGAGAGAAGAGAGAGAGCTCGAGAGAGAGAGAGAAGACCGGTGCGAGCAGAGCGAGAGAAGAGAAAGATGAGAGATGACGAGATACGAGAGAAGAGACGAGATGATAAGATAATAGAAGTAGAGAGATAGATAGGATAGATAGTAGTAGATTAGAATAGATAGGATAGATCAGATAATAAAACATACATATATGCATCATATACATAAATACATAGTATATATTATATATTGGTATATATAACTTATATATAGATATATAGTGTATGATATATATATGTATATGTATATGGTAATGATAATGTATATGGTATAGTTATATATAATTGGTATAATGTAGTATGATAAGTAATGTATATGTAAATGTTATAAAACTTAATATATAATGCATACTTATGTTATATGAGATATGTATTAATAGAAGTAGTTAATATCTATATTAATATAGTATATAAATATATATGTATATAGTATAGTAATATATTTATATGATATATTATGTTCATAAGCTATATATTTAGACGGACTAAGTACTTATAGATTATATATTAGTAATATAATACTTATTATGGTGAATGTAGGTATATGTAGATATTGTATTACTGTATATATGTATATGTATAATATATAGAGTATATACATATATAGTGAATACAACACTACATAAGAGCAAGCGACACCACATATATATATATTAAATATATATATATCATATATTATATATATATATATATATATATATATATACAGACTAGATAGACTAATAGATCATAAATACATATATATAGATAGATATAATAGATAGATTACATAATATATAATTATATAGATAGAAGTAGATAATAGAATTGACTAGATAGACACACATTTATATATAGGATAAGATACACTATTATAATAATAGTTTATATAAGTGAGTATAGAATATATATATATTATAGATGAGAGAAGAATGAAGACTAAAGAATAAAGATGAATGTTAACGGAGAAGAGGGAAGAAAGAGTAAGACGATGAGCTGAAGAGCGAGAGCGAAGGCTGATGAGCCGAGAGCGAGAGCGAGAGCAGAGAGCGATGAGAGCGAGAGCTGAGAGCGGACGAGCACGAGAGCTGAGTGAGCTGAAGCGAGAGCGAGAGCGAGAGCGGAAGAGCGAGAGCCGGGAGGCTGAACGCGAAGCGACGCGAGAGAATCGAAAGAGAGGGAGCTGATGAGTACGAGAGAGAGAGAAAGGAGAATGATGAGAGAAGAGGAGGAGAGAGGAAAGAGCGAAGAGAAGGAGGAGAGAGAGAGAGAGAGAGAAGAGAGAGAGAGTGACGGAGATAGCACTACATAATATACATACTATCATAATAATGTATATATATATATGTGTAGTAATATACTTTATATATATTTTATATATATAAAATATTATATATAGGGACTATATTATATATTAATAGATACAGTATTATGAGATAGATAAATACTATATATAGATTGGTTACAATATATATAATATAGTATATTATAATATATATATAATATATATATATACCATACATACCATATAAGTATATATATATATATATAGGATGATATATTAACTATTTATATACTATAGATTATATATATAGACGAGAGAGAGAGAGAAGGAAGAGAAGACATGATGGAGAGAGAAGAGAGAAAGAGAAGAGGAGACCGAGGAGAGAGAGAGCGAGGAAGGAGGAGAAGGAGAGAGAGGAGAGAGGAGAGAAAGCGACGAGAGAGAGGAGAAGACAGAGACAGGACAGAGACAGAGACATTATAATAGACAAGAACACATACATTACATACATATATTATGTGGTTTATCTATAGTATGTAGAGAATATATATGTAAAATTATTTAGATAATCTAGATAGATAATATAGATGTGCATATATGTATAAATTATATATGTTGGTAATAGATACATATAATACACATTACAGTATACTATATAATTATAATTAACTATTATATATTAAGTATATATGCTATCAATTATATATACTATATGAGTAATTATACATATATATACAGTTATATGTACATCAGCAATATTATACATACTATATAAACAACATGTATATTATTATACATACAGATATTTATAGAATAGCATATATATACATTAACATATACTGATATACAGTAAATTGATATATATTACATACCAGATAATACAAACATATATATACATACATAATATACAGTACAAATATACATACATACATTACATACATACAACTGTATACATACCATACTATATACATACATACAGGTGATACATACATACTATATACCATACAATCTATATATACAACATATAGTATATACAACTATATATATACATACAATTATAAATACATACATAATTATTATACATACATATGACTTATCTATAACATCCATATCAATTTGTTTAATAACAAAATTAAAATAAACTAAATTTTAATAAATCTAACCCATTTTAACAATTACTATTATATTTTTCTATACGTATATATACATACATATATATACATGACATATATATATACATGACATAACTATATATCCATACTATATATACATATATACATATATTACATATATACATACATATATATACATTTATACATATACATGTACATACATATTATATACATACATATATATATACATACATATATATACATGCATATATATATATACATATATATATATATTTACATGCATTATACCATATATACATGTATACATACATAATATACATACATATATATATACTATGCATATATACTATAATACATATATATATATATATATATATATATATATATATATATAAATATATATATATTAGGATAGATAATATATATATTATATATTATAATATATAGATACAATATTATAAATATATATAATACATATATATACATACATATATATACATACATTATATAACATAATTATACTTATACATACATATATATACATATCATATACTATAATATACATATAATACATACATATATATCATACATAAAATATAATACATAATGTATATATATATCATATAATATATACATATATAATATATATACATATATATATATACATACATAATATATACATACATATATACATATACATATATATATATATATATAATATATTATACATACATTTATATATAATACATATATATACATACATAATTACAATTATACTACATATATATATACATACATATATATTACCATATATATACATACATTACATATACTAACATACATACAATACATACATATACACACATATATATATATATATATATATATATATATATATATATATATATATATATATATGCATATATATGTATGCATATTTACTTAATCAGTAAAGAATAAGGTCTCCCTCAAATGCTCTTAAAAATTCAAATGTCTAGCACATATATCATTACTTAATCTATTAACTCTAACAGCAATATGAAAAAAAAAATATCACTTGTACCCTACTTTCTTAGATCAAAGTCTTCAACATGAAGCATTTTACTCCAGTGCATGAGAGTTGCCTTGCGTGTATCCTCTGGGGCTTCGCTGAGGTACGTGATGAACGCAGCTGCTAGTACAGCCTCTCTTGGAAGATCCTGCACATCTGAATCCAACTCTGATACCTAAAATCATATCAAAATTACAGTAGCTCTACTACATAAATATAAAGAATCACAATTTTTTTTACATATTGTAAGTATCTTTAATCATCTTCGAAATAATTTTTTTTGTAAGAGCCTTAATAAAAAGCATACCTTCTCTTCAACATAATTAACCAGAGATCATCAAATATTCACACTTTTATTTTCAACCTGAAAAGTATTCATCATAACTTACTTGCTGACTCCATCGTTTATATTCCCCTTCAAGTTTGGTGACAAGACTCTCAGCAGCTGACATGGTTTCCTTGGCCTTATTCAGGTGGAACTCAACTTCCACTGCCTCTTTTGTTGAGCGATTCAGTTTCTCACGCAAAACTGCCACTTCCTTGTCGACTTCATCCAAGCCAGCTGACAGTTCTCCTATCTGTGCCTCTGCTCTGGTCAGGTTCCTGAGAAGGCAAGGAGAGTATTATTCAGGGACAACATTCTTCTTCTGCTTTGTGATGCAAATAGCATGTCATGCTGCAACTGTGATGGACAAAACCATGATGCATCAACACAGATCAGTCTTTCTCATTCAATGTGAACTGAATGCATAATCTAATCAATTTGTAGTAACAATCAAGCTGATCCCATATCCAAGTAGATTTAGGGAAGCTGCATTCTAGTTTAGGAAGCCAGTTCCTTTCCACCATAACTCTGGCCCAAACATACTAATGCCAGTACTCAATAACAGCCAAATTGAATAAGAGAGGATGGCTAGATGCAAATATGGGACCTTGCAATTGTAAAGATAGCATTTTACCACTGAGGTATGCTTCCTCCATTAGAATAATAGTTCATGTGAATAACCATGATGATTTTTTAAGACTCCATAAATGCAAATTCCAAGTTTTTCCAGATGATTTTTATTTTTCATTTTTTCTTGAAATATACCTAGGACATGAGTGAATCATTCAACAAGGTATAAGAGTGATACCAAGTAAGCGAGAGAGGCACAAATGTGTAAGTATCCAAAAAGTAATTTAGCATTCCCTTTACTGCTAATTCTATCAGTTACGTTATAAATTTTGTGCTGACAAACATACATGTACACAAAAATAACAAAATTGATAGAATTCAGGGTAAACTGGTGAATATCTCCCACATCTATCCTGTGGTGTGTGTGTGTGTGCACACTTTTGCTTTGTCTGAATCACTATTGTATAGATGTCATTTCATTATGAAAAAATATTTGAATCAGAATTTCTCTCAAAACATATAATCAGGTTTGTTAGTGTATTCTGAAAAAAATGGTTATATTCAAAAAACATATTCTGTAACAATAATTTTTTATACTATTTTTGCAACATGTTATAATACTGGTATAAAAGAATAATGCAACAGAAAAATAGTTCCTTGTATGTACTTTTGCATAGGAATAAATTATGGATCTTGATTATTTAATTGCAATCCAATCAATTGCACCTCAAGAGTAAATCATTATACAAAATATTCACTTATTCTTAAATAAAATGAAAGTCGAAAAACTGTTATTGAAGTGTATATTGCATTCCCTAAAGTATTTCCTTTCTTGTCCTTTTGAGCACAAATATTGCAACTTGACTAATGTACTGCATAACGCGTGTAAAAAATATGTATAAATTAGAATTCATCATTTACCGAAAAGATGTCCAATACTCAATCCCTTCAAGAACTGATAAAAGAAAGCAAGAAGAATTTTTTTAAATTCTATATTCATACCTCTCCAATTTATTCTGCTCCTGTTCCAAGGGCTTCACCTTCTCAAGAACATATGAAAACTTGACATTAGCTTTCACCCAAGCCGTCAAGGGCACAGCTGCTGTAGAAGCTCTCTTGGCAACTACTGGATCAAATGAATCTGCGCGCTCTCGTAGGAGCTTTTCAACTGCCTTTCGTGATTCTGGGGCAACGCTTCTTGGATCATAATTTCTGGAAAGATAATTGATGTAAACTTTTCTCCTAGAACAAAGCAGCTATTCACACAAGTATGTTAAGCATTTGTCTTATCAAAAGAGATAGAATTTGTACTAAAAATGCCATATAAACATAAAGGTTGTACTAGAAATATCAAACTGATATGATTTATCATTCATTACCTTATCTCCTCTTTGACACCCCTCTTGGCCAGGAAGGTCTTCATAGAGTTCCATGACGTGTCCTGGATTCCCATGAGCCGTAGAACACCCTCCAAAATGTCCCTGATCACTTCAGGTGGTGCTCTCAGGGACCTGATCAAATATTTTTAAAATATATACATTATTGGCAATAAAGGATCATAAAGATTAAGAGTGGATACATTTAACTATCTAATTTATACCTAAGATTGCACATATATGTATATGTACACTATATACACTTATATTCATATATATCAATGGTATTTACACAAACATGAATAATACAAAAAAAAAACATTATCGCCAGAAACAGTTAGTTTTATTACAAGATACTTTAGTAGTTTCATTGCCTGATACTTTAATAAAACATTCACTTAACCCGATGGTGCTGGGGATGGCATGTAAGTGCTATACATGCTATGTTCACTGTGAATTTGGTTTATTAATTGTCTTTTCACATGGATGGCTCCACAAATACTTAGTCACTAGCAAGCCAATTACTATTACTATCTATCTCACCTGTTGACACTTTTCCTTACTTTTCAAAAATATCTTTTTCATATCTTATATTGCTATCAGTAATATCAATAACATTATAAAATTATAATGTTTATAATAATAATAACAACAACAACAGTAATATTGATAGCGGAAAGAATCAATTGATCAAAAAACTCAAAGGAAAGGTGAAATCAGGTCATGGGTCTACTGACTGGCTTCATAGTGACTCAGCACTTGTGGAGCCATCTATGTGTAGAGACATTTCACAAAACAATATGACAGTGAATAACATATATGCAAATGTGTGTGTGTGTGTGTGTGTGTGTGTGTGTGTGTGTGTGTGTGTGTGTGTGTGTGTGTGTGTGTGTGTGTGTGTGTGTGTGTGTGTGTGTGTGTGTGTGTTGTGTGTGTGTGTGTGTGTGTGTGTGTGTGTGTGTGTGTGTGTGTGTGTGTGTGTGTGTGTGTGTGTGTGTGTGTGTGTGTGTGTGTGCATGTGTTGTGTGTGTGTGTGTGTGTGTGTGTGTGTGTGTGTGTGTGTGTGCATGTGTGTGTGTGGTGTGTGTGTGTGTGTGTGTGTGTGTGTGTGTGTGTGTGTGTGTGTGTGTGTGTGTGTGTGTGTGTGTGTGTGTGTGTGTGTGTGTGTGTGTGTGTGTGTGTGTGTGTGTGTGTGTGTGTGTGTGTGTGTGTGTGTGTGTGTGTGTGTGTGTGTGTGTGTGTGTGTGTGTGTGTGTGTGTGTGTGTGTGTGTGTGTGTGTGTGTGTGTGTGTGTGTGTGTGTGTGTGTGTGTGTGTGTGTGTGTGTGTGTGTGTGTGTGTGTGTGTGCATATAGATGTATAGATAAATGTATAGATAGATAGATAGACAGATAGATAGATAGATAGATAGATATAAATAAATAAACAGTATCTTACGCATACCTAATTTCAGTCAATGCCTCCGATTTAATGTTTCCGACAGCTTCTTTTGCCTCTCTAACTAAAGGCTCTATCTCAGCCAGTTCCACGTCAATGGCCTTTTTTCTAGAATTCAAAAATAAAGTGGGATATATCACAAGATTTGCAAGATAGGTTTTTCATTTCTGAATTCAGATTAACATGTATTCACAAAAGAATTCTGCTTAGTTCTGTTTATCATTTCATGCAATTATCTTGCAAATTAGTTTCATAAAATACATTTTTGTAAAAAAATTACTTATGAGGATAATCATATGTATATACTTTGTATATCCCAGTATATCTCCAATATCTGAAATTCTTAGCCTATTTTGTATAATCATCCTCCAGAATATCTTGAATTATGTCCTCGAATAATGTTCAGCGTTTTCAAACCTTTCAGCAATGATCTGGTTTTCCTTGAGTGTCTGCTCCTTCAGGCTCTCCATCTGGACTTTCTGATCGTTTGCATTCTTCATAGTGTTTGTGATCAGCTGGAGCGCACGGTTGGCTTCCTCCTGCTTCTCAGCGAGCCTAACTTCCTGTTCTGTTGCTTCAGCCTTCAGCTTACTCACAACTTCTTGAGCTTCATTTAGTTTGGCCACACCAGCCTGCAAGGTAGAGAGGCAGCAATGTCTAAACCCAAATGTATATTAGTACTTCAATAAATAAATATTCACATATCAACTATCATACTACAGAAATGGGTGGCTGCAAAAATCAAAAGAAAATTAACAATTAAACTTAAGAACACAACTTTCATACCTTCAAGTGGCCCTGTCGGTGCAGGACCCCTTCCTTCTTGGTGGTGTAAATGGAGCGATAGGTGTTGAGTAGAACTAGATACCTTCGAGGTGTTGAGAGGTGTAGAGGAAGGCTTTCATGAATGGCAAGGAAGGTCTGCTGGAATTCTACAGAGTCTTTTGAATCCAACTCACTCTCTTTGAGCAACATGCTGGGGATCTAATAAAAAGAAAAGTTGGAAAGAGAATATTTCAACTGAATTGCATGCATCATTGATATATGTACATTCTACCTACAGAAATATCTAAAGTCTGTTAATAAAGCATTGTCATCTGCATTGTCACCAACAAATAAAACACAACAAAAGCAAAAACATACCAAGAAAAAAAAAATGCCCTCCATCAAAGTCAATTTTGTACCTGAGATCATTTAATCTCATAAATTATTTCAGTTGCATCTTTGTAACCAAAAAGACTAAAAGTCCATGAATTCCTTCATAACTGAAGTCATAGAAAGAATCATGTCTTTTACCTGCACCATAGTTTCCCTGGACCATCCATCCATCCATAAAACAGCACACTGCTTGTACAGAGCTGGATTACTCTCACACTGGAGGGTAAAGTCCTGGTTGCTGGAGTCCATAATTAAAGCAATATGTAGGTTCTTCCTCACTCCTGAAATATTTCAAAACACAAGCATAAGGCTTAGAAAGAAATATCTACATAAACAATGTAGATAAAAAATATATATATACTATACATGAACACCACACTGATAAACAGAAACATATCCATCAATTCTAATACATTTTTCTATCACCTCAATAGAGAATCAAGTTCATAAAATCTTACTTCAGATCATTCTAATCCAGTTCTATATCTGACCTGTACTAGCATCCCAAAAACTTACTTGATGCAAAGTAGGCATACTGAGATCCTCTAAATCCTTCATGTGCCGCTTCATCCCTCAATGGCATAAGGAGAGGATCCAATTCTTCTGATGTGTAGAGACCAGGAATCTAAAAAGTATTGTCAAATACCAAATACATAAACACTGTGCAATGTCTAAAATGGGAATGAATAAAAGTTTCTATAAAGCAGTGATATAAGTAATAATATGGAGACAGGAATCAAAGACAGACATTGATTTTTAATATACAAACTGTGAGGACTGATATTTCTTACCTCGCCAGCCATCAGGAGGGAATTGATAACTTCCAAAATGGCTGATGACACCAAATTATGATCTTCTAGAAGGAGGAGTACTTGCTCACCATCTACACCTGCTGCCTGCATCACCTGGGGAAAATAATTGCAAAGATAAGTTATCAAAAGAAAAAGTTTCATCAAAAATTATGTAAAAACTGCAATGGTTACATAATCATAAATACAGTTTTTGGACAGATGTTAGGTATCTACTGCACTCCATTATCTGTGAATATCAAGAATGCCACTTATCATCTGTACCTGCTTCAAATCATTCTTGAAATTTTTAATGTCATATCCTAATGTCATGGCAGGAGAAACAACTTTGATGCCATGGAGATATGCAATGACTGATACTGCTGTCCTGCGCCCAACCCCAGACCTGCCAGCCATGAGAAGTGATCCTCCAGGTGATGTCAAAACACGATCTACTCGAGCCATCGATTCCAGGACCTGAGAGAGAAGAAAGGGTTGTTTCTATTAGAATGTTGGCCTATATTTTATCCTTCTCT